CATGGTAAAATAACACGATCATGTGGTTCTGGTATCTAATTTTGGTCTTAACTGAAATAGCCAAAATGCCTGACTGTACTGAGAGAACCCCTGTGAAGGAGATCATGTTTGGAGTTCCGAACCCAGAACTCCTGACTGTGACCAGACAGCCAGCAAAACCCCTTTGGCTTTGGAGCTGAGAAAACACAGTGAGTGCATAATTCACCTTGTCTTGTGATTAAGAAAGGAATGGAGGAGGCTAATTTAATTTAACCAGAGTGAGTGAGATTGGGGTTTCCACCCTAAAATTCCTCTCTGCTTCTCTTCCAAGCTCTGCTCGCTGCCCAGCCACATCGGTGCTTGCATTTTGGTAGCCAGCAGTGCAGACTTGGCGCTATGCTCAAGGACAGCTCTGCCTTTACCCTGCAGAAAACAGCAGTGAGGATGGGTGATGGTCAGCTCGGGAAGTTGCTCTGGGCAGGACAATACAAAAGAAATGAGCTGGGGATAGCCCTGCCTGCTAACAGCTGCTTCCTACCACGGGCCTGAGGTAGTGAGACGCTGGGCAAGGGGCCAGACAAGCCTCTAGATTCCTGCAACCGAAGGCTGCTTAAAGTTGGTGAAAGACAATATAAAGGTGGCTTTGTTTCAGCCATTTGAGACAGCCCCAGAACTCCATTCAGATTGTAGAAAGAGCCCCAAGAGCCTTGGATTTGTCTCCTTATTTAAAAGATATATTGGAAGTCACGTCATTTGAGACACTGAAACTCAGCTGGACACTGTACTAACACCTCAAGCAAATACCTCAGTGTGTTGCTAGAGGCTTGGGACATTTATTTATTTTTCATATTAAGACGCAGACTGAGAATATTCTTCAGAGGCCATACTATACCATAAATAATTAAGAATTTGTTCTAATACCGACAGCTTAAAAATTGCATGGGCTGGGTCGTTGGAACTTGAGAGCTGGAAGGAATCCAGCCCCTCCAAATAAAGGAGCTGGAAGGAACTCAGGTAACATCAACAGAGACACACAGTAATTTAGTATATTAAACCAACTTCTTTTTTCTTTCCTTTTTTCCCTATTCTACATAAAACTCCTGAAACTATTCTACCATACAACATAAAACAGAAATTACTGCAGAGAGGCAATGGATGTGAAGGTGAATGAACATACATATTTAAAAGGATAATAAAGTGCTCATAAAATTGTTTACACAAATAGAGAAACCACAGTGCTAATGGCAGCTCCCCATACTGATATTATCAACACATACAGACTTCAAGTTGTGGTCTTTGCATTTAGATGAAATAACATTGCATTTGGTGGGGAGTTTTAACAGAAGAGATACTTTCATTGAGGCAAAATATTAAAGTTAAGAAATAGAAAATTCTGATTACCAAAGACACAGTTTCACCATGAGGAAGAAATATACATACACAACAACATTTAGGCTATAGAAAACTCTCCTGAAGAATACGCTGAAAATCACATTATTTGAGGCACTTGACATTTATCTGAATGTAATACTTGTACGTATACCACGACAAAAACATTTACAGTAGGGGAATCCTCTCAATAACCTTTTCACATCCAGTTTCTACTGACAACAGGATCTATGGTGCCATGAAAGGAACAGAGCTTAACCTAAACTTCCCATAAAATGAAAGAAAAGGAATCACAATATTTTATACAAGTCTCTCTATGTATCAGTTATCTAACACCAAGCTGCTTTTTGTGACATTTTACACTAGCCTACCGCTCACTTGATCGCTTTATAGAGGCTGAATAAAGATGACTAGGGATTTATCGCCCTCTTGTGAGTGGAAAAAGGTTGCACTCTCTCAGAAAAATGAACGTGCACAGTTGTTACTACTAACGAATCCTGTGGTAAAAATATATCTGTATAAGTAATAAACATAAATTTGGATTGCTAAATGTAGACTCACTGGACTGCTACCTTTAGCAGTGCAAATTTCTGTTTATTAGCTCTACAGATATAACGGTAATCCAGGGGGTCAACCTTTAGTAACCAAAATAATTTTATCAGAAAAGGATAGATTACAAAATTAAGAAACAAACTGAAATCAGACCAAACCAGGTATTTTTTCAATTAAGTAGGGAGATAGCAATCTAAATTCCCCAAAATCACTGCCTACAGCACTGATCTCAAAAGGCATGGCTTGCTCAAAGGTGAGTTAACCTCTCCCGACTACAGATGCAAAATATCCTTCAATGTCAAAGCAAACAGGATGATGAAAAAAAAAAAAACATCTATTTTGCCATGCTGGAGAAGAGGTGGCCTTTCAGTGACAATAAATGATCATGGGTCTGAGTCCACCTTTGTTGCAGTCCCTACTGAAGTCCCCAGACAGAGGTGTAGGTACCTCTTGGCAGGCATAGGCCCTTGCTGGGTGCACACACAACACATCGACTGTATTAACACAAATTAATTCTACTTTTCTATTAGCACACCAACTAGCCAAATAGCTTTCTTCTGTAGTTCTTCAACAAAGAAATCTTACCAAAACTCTCTCCTGAGATTATTAGCAGGCTGTAATACCAATAAGCCAAGTGCCATTTGATCATGAATAACAGAGGACTCTCATTATGAGAAGCAAAAATAACACTGTCTTACAGTAATCCGAGAGCATGTGTCTTGGTTCTACTGCCTTCCCTAATTTATAATAAACAAAGCATAAATCCTATCCAAATGAAGGCATCCACAAGTCCTACTAGCACAACATAATAACCATTTCCACAAAAAGCTATGTATTAATACCACTTAGCATAATAAATATTTAAAGTGTTACTGCAGTAAGGAATACAAATTCACCTATGTCTTTCCTGTTCTTAGTTGTGACACTTAAAAAACACAGCTTTATAGCTACTATATTTAAATGCAATTAGTTCTATATATTTCCAGCTTAATAAGAAATAATACATATTCATTTCTGCTCATTAACAGTCAGTATATAACTCTTAGCTAATGAACATTCAATTACGCTCCCTGAATACGTTGTGGGATAAATTCTCTTTTTGTTGCTCATATCAGTTCACTTCAATTCAGTTGCTTCTAATTAAAATTCTTTTGCTTCATGTAGACAAAACTAGTTTTTTCTGAGTCCCTTGAGACTTCTTTAAGAGTTGTTTTATCTTTATGTACAGTCAGCTCCCTAATTAATGCTTTAAATAGGGTAAACTTTACTGAGGCTCCTGGGTTCAGTTCAAAGGGAAAAAAAAAACCACGTTAATTTTATATCTCATTCTCACGCAATTCACTGGAGTCTCTCTTTTTCTTGTAAATCTACTTTTTTCTTTTGTTTTCAAGTGAATTCAATAATCAGGGAAGGTACCAGCTTGAGAGCACTGGGAATTGGAGATCCCCCTTCATCAGTCTAGAGTTTTCCCTACCCAAAGAAACAGAAGAGAAATTCTTGTCAAGTTGTCCAGTTTTGCAGCCACCGCAGGTGAGGAATATTTACAGGAGGATTCTCCAAGGGGACAGCCCCAGTAGATTCCCTGAGATAAATACTACCTTTATTTTCAGCCAGCATCAGCAAGGCCCGATGCTAATGTATGTTTTCCTAACTTGTTAACTGAGCTAGCTCAGCAATCTATCTGCCTGTCTAGGACCTAAAATCTAACGCAAGCCCTACTTACTCCACCAGAACCAACAACATGCACGTTAAGCATCTGCCTTTGCAGAGGTCATTATCAGGTATGACTTGCAAACTGAAGTGGCTAGGTTCTTGCCTCTGATTTTATCTGCCTTCTGTCAGTTAGCAATGCAAAGAGAAAGGAATTCAGTAGAAGCAGATTCAGGGCACTCTTAGAGGTTCCTCTCTCTAATGCAGCATGCCAGGACACATTCTTGACTATTTTACCTATACCAGAGAATGGGCTGGACTCCCATACTTAACAGACTGGGGGTGGCAACACCCCTCTGACAAAAACATCTAGAAATAACTCTCAAATGCAATGACTCATTTACAAACTTACCAGGCAAACACTGTGTGAACTCTATGTGCACCAATATAAGAGAGAATGCTAGGACAGAAAGCCCAATGTTTACTGAACAAGGGAAAGTGGCAGAGAAAGGAATTCCTGTTAAAAGAAACATCTAGTAATACCCAGGAGAATCCTTAGCTTTAGAAGCGGTTCAGTTTTATTTAACATTTAATTAAAACTCCAAGATATGTGCACCTCTGCAACTGACTTGAAAACTGAAAAACTAAATGGGGTCAAGGAGGTGTTATGTATACATGCATGCATATGAACGCACACGTGTGTGTCTGCTTGGATGGACTATGTATGCCTGTCAGCACATCCTCTGGTCCACAACTACATGAGCACTGTGAAAGGAACAGGCCAAATCTTCTTGTTTGAAGCAGGAATGAAACAAAAAATTCTACTGAGGGATGTGCAGATCTAGATCCTCAGCAGACTGAAATTGGTTGATGGAGCCCTAACAAATTACACCATACATTATCCAGCCCATTGATTGTTCCCATGGATAGCATTTTTTATTGAGTGTTAAATAGATACTAGGAATAGCGACTGTTCAGTAATGTTGGTTTCACTTACCTTCTATAATCAGATATATTTTTTTCCCCAAGGTCTGCCACTTAATTTGTCCTTTATCAGTATAGAACTTGAAACAGTAGAGGGTGTTTCTGATCCTCTCTCACGTTAAGTATGCTGTCTACTATTGCAGCAGATACGGACTGCACAACAGGCCATGTTTACCACTGTGGACATCATCAGGGAGACAAGTATGTCCAGAGTGCTTAACAGTAAGCCTGAGTCTGCTTGGAGCCTCATGCAATGCCCTTCTGACTCTGAGATACAATTATCAAAAATGTTTGTGTTGTGTGTTTGGTGTGGTTTTTTTTGTTTGTTTTTTGTTTTTGTTTTTTTTTTTTGTGGCAGCCTGCCACAGTACTATTAACATAGCATGTTACTGAGGTTGTGTGTTGCATGACTAAGGCATGAAGACTTTTAAGGGTATATGGCTTACCAGGATAACACTGGAAGACTGTGCCAGGTGGAGAAAAACAAAGCTGATGTGAATCGCATTACACTATGTGGCTTCACTGGTCCCTGAAGAAAACATCCCATCAGCTGCACCCAGATTTTCTCTTGGAAGGAATTAGTCAGCATTTCTCCTCAGCAGAGGCTGAACTTGCATTAGGGGACCATGGCCTGGAAAGAAAGAAAGGAGAAGTTAAACTGACAACGAAAACACACTAGGAATCTATTTCTGTTCTCATACCCATTTTGCACACGAAATTCACATTTTATATCACGGAAAGCAAGCCAATAATCAGGATGCTACTTTGCACGAAGAAATTTTGTCACTTGTTCTTGAGGAAGGGTCGTGGTTTTTTCCTCACAAGCAGTTTACAGATACTGGGCTAAATTTTCTGTGCAGAAATATTACACGACCGTGGCCACAAGAGGGAGCATTTTGGTCAAAAGCAAACGGAACAATTCAAACACGAAGGAGGTTTTCAGTTTCTTTATCAAAGAACGCCTTTGTGTGTTTTGTAAAGTTAAGACAGCAGGCCTAACTGAAAAATTAAAGATAGAAATGCTAAAAAGAGCAACTTCATTTCACTTCTGGTTCAGATTTGGAATTGCTAGTGGAAGATTTAGTTCACAAGAATTCCTTATTCTGCAATGGATGATTTAGTCTACCACACTTTAAAGAACTGATAAATACTGAAAATACTCATAAATTACTGTAGCTTTATTAAAATCATTATGATAAGAAGATATGTTGGAGTATAATTTTACAAATTACAAGGGAGAATAAGCTGTTCCAAAGGCAGCTCTGATGAGAGAAAGATCACAGTCCAATTTAAGCTGTATATCTAATTTATACTAAAAACAATAAAGTTCCATAAACTTTTTTAAAACTGTGACAGTTTATATGAAAGAAGAATCTCTGCCTACGCTGTGGAAGTGTTTACTGGGATGTCCTCTGTCACTGATATGATTCACTTGGATTGCATACAGAAGCTACACCTGCTCTGGAGCCACTATTTTTATAGTTTCTGAGTAGAATCAAGACAGTACCGGGTAAAGCTCTTTAGGTAAATCATATGCTTTCCTACTGACCTGCAAAACTAAAGGTGTGTGTTCAACCTACAAAAATAATTAGTAACAAGCTAATGTTATTGCTCCCACATTGTACCATTGCATACTGGTAAAATAAAGATACTGAAACAATTCCAAACATCAGTATCATAATAGCTTGGTGGTATTTTGTGTTAGTGGAACAAGGATCAAAGTTCATTCCACCACAGACTCGCAGACCAAAATGGATTTATTATTCAAAAGAGAGACTGATGTCAGTTTAGGCAAAGGATCACACCTTCTCACATTCTGAACGTTAACACATTTTTCTTGCACTGTTTGTATCTTGGTGCTTGCTTAAGCCTTTTTCATGATGTTATGACTAACCAGCCTTAGATGAGTAAATATTTATAATCAATATCAATTTATAATCAATATCACTGTTTTTTAACAAATGTACAAGTTACCAGAAACAGATTATTTTACATAATAAAAGCATCATGTCTTTAAAACTAGATGCTTTATTATTTCCTGGTTCTAGAGGTAAGATCATTACAACCATTTAATAAGGACAAATGCAGTGTTTTATTCTTAGAACTTTGTGTTGTAAATGACAAGTAATTACTCAGAAATGGATCTAAGAATTATCATGACTTACAGCGTGAGTCACAAGGCCAGGCTACTGCAATAAAAGAAGGGATATATAAACATGTTAGACAGAAATCAACCCTTCCTGCCCAATCAGTAGCACTGGTCAGTCCTCCTAGTGAGTAACATTTCCAGTTTGGGTACTTCGAGACAGGTGTGGACCTATTGGAGAAATGCCAGAGAAAGGCATTAAGTATAATCAGATATCTAGAAACTATGACCTGGGAGAGAAAACCTGAAAGCACTGAACTGTTGAGTCTAGTGAAGGCTTGAGTAAATCACAAAAGCACTATACAAGAGTGCAAAAAGTAGCTACAAAGAGGAAAGAAAACAGTTTTCATACCCACCAAGTGAATATAAATTGCAAAGAGACTCTGCTCAGATATAGAAAAAATGTTTCATAACATAACCAGAGAAGTGCTGGAACAAATCCGCGAATCATCTGTCAAGAATGACGGAGGCAGAACTGATCTTTCTGCTCTGGGGTTTCCCTCTAGCCTCACTTCCCATGATGATCGTGCCGCACTGGTTCATGCTCTGGTTTTTCAGAGGCCGATTCCAAGGTCAGGCAGTCACAGGGTGACCCTGGAAGCCCGCCAAGGGAAATCCTACATTTGTCAAGCTTCCACTATACGCAGGCTTCAGTTAACCCATATATATTCATATATATTATTTTGATTATTCCTTAAGCACCTGCACATCAAGCCACAACTGAAAAATAATTTTATAATAATTAATAATTACTATATTTGAGGAAGTAGTCATGCCAAACTGGGAACTGAACTGTGAGGTTTCTATAACAATTTTTTAAAGGAAATACAAGCAGTCCAGTGACAGACTAATGTTGTGTGAGGAAGTGTCCATGTTTTTGTGTGAAGAACAGGTGTGAGACAGGAGGGAGAGCCACACTGAAGTGCCTGAACCAAGGCCACGGCCTGGAGGCCAGGAGCCACCCGTCCCTGAGCGCAGCGCTCCGGGGGCTCACCCTCATAGTCACAGCAGATCCAGTGCAAGAACCCACACGCTCACCTCAACACCATCAGGCTGAAGCTTCCTTCAGTGCTGAAAAAAGAAGCAGCCACATGAGCGTGGAGTAACGTGAGCAGCAGGCAGCACCTCCGCCTCAGCCACCCTGCCTCAGGAGCACAGACTCCCACCCACGGCCGTGCCCATGGATGCAGCTCACGGTGTGTCTCCACACCTCACCTCCTCCTGACCTCAGCGCAGAAACGCACCCTCCACGCAAAGAAAAAAATAAAAATAAAAAGCCTCCTGTTGTACACCCTGAGCGCATTTGCCTCCCTTATCTCTCAGATAACAGCCGTGGTGCCTGCCAACGAGGCACAACAGCCGCCCGTCAGCAGCCCGGGCTGGGCAGGGGAAGGAGGACACGGGGCTGTGGCGGGGCAGGGGGGAGCCCGGCGCCTTCTTGCTGCCACCTCAGGACACGGGCGGCAGGGGCGGGCGCGGCGGCTCCATCTTGCGGCCCCTGAGGGCTCCTTCCCCGCGGCGGGGCCGGGCCGGGCGGGGCCGGGCCGAGGGCTGGGACCGGGGCAGGGGCTGGCGCAGGGACAGTGCCGGGGACATCGCGGCCCCCCCGGCGGCAGCTCCTGCGCAAGCAGCCGCCCGGCGCTGGCGGCCGGAGCATGGCGCCGCGGGTGCTGCCGCTGCCCAGGCAGCACTCCTTCTGCTCGCCCGTCGTCCTCAACCCCTTCGTCCACCCGGGCCGCCTGAGCGCCGGGGACAAGCTGCGGGTAAGGCCGGCGGTGCGGCGTGCCGGGGGAGCTGCCCTGCCCTGCCCTGCCCTGCCCGGCCGGGCTGGGGAAGGGCTCCCCGGCGGGGGGCGGCTGCCCCTGCCCCAAGGCTGCGCCCCGCGGGCCGCCATTTCGCGGCGGGGCTGCGCGGCACTGAGGCGGCTCCTGGAGCTGGGGGGAGAAAGCCAGCGGCCGCCTGAGGGAAGGGAGGGAAGGAAGGAAAAATGGAAGGGCTCCCGGCCGGCCCGGGCTCCCCCAGGGCTGTAGGGCAGCCGCTGTTGTCCCCTGTAAGGGGGGAAAGCCTCCGGGTTAGCAGGGCCTGGGGCTGTGGGCTCAGCGCCAGGTTTGAGCTCCTGGTGCGAGGTGTGCAGCGAGCTCTTGGCAAGGGTGGTGCTGTCCCGACAGTAACACCTCGCTGCTGGAGGAAACGGGAATCCCCGCGTCCCCACTCACAAAAGTGGGATGCTGTCCGTGGTGCCAGGCGCCTCTGGCACTAGTGGGAAGATGCTGACAGCTGCTCCCTGAAGTGATGCGCTAAAATAGAAAATAACGTGCTCTTTTTACAATAATCCCCTTCAGACACATAACTCGCTGTAAGCTGATTTTAAACCTGCTTTGGGGGAGGAAGGAGGCCCCCCTTCTGAGTTCCACATCCCCCCAAAATGGGTATCCCTCCCTCCCTGCCTTACTGCTGCTGTCACTGGGTGAATTGAACCAGGCTCCTGCAGTCCCGCTGCAGTGCCGGGCCGTGCTGAGGGTACTCACACAACTCAGAAAGCAAACAGCATTTCTGGGCATTGATTTACAAACATCTCCACTTTAAAAACTGAGGAGATGAACCAGCCGAGAACTGGCATCTCAGTGAGGACGAGGCACATAGCAGTGCGTAGGCAAACTTTCAGCATTTTCTGCTGGTTGTTACACATACCTAAGGCTGACACGCAGCTAAATATTTTATGTTCCATGTAGCTCTCCCTGAAGTTATAAATGGTGTTTACCCTGAAGGTAGCTAGTTAGAGGAAATTTGAGAGATGTGGAAAACAGTTTCAAATCTTCTTAACCCCTGTGTTTACCAGCAGCCTGCAGCACAGCTCAAGTGCACCTGAGTCAGAAGCTGTAGGCATGAACCCCGAGGTATCGGCAGCAGTTCCTTAATGAGGTTCCAGAAATGGACAGTTCTCTCTGCTGCCTGATCTTTTTGAAGGATGCACAAACTACTTTTAAAAGCTTGCAATTTTAAGCTTCAATTACCATTTGATCTGTAATAAATATACCCTTTTTCCTTCAGGAGGAAGGGATGAAAAACATGGTATGTTTTAAAGCAAGATACCCTCTATGCATAACTCCACAATGTACCTGGAAGGAGAAGCAACCTAGCTGGGACAGGACCCAGCAGTAGTGAGCTTTGAAGCAAAATTGCAGTCATCACTACTGACTGCAGTAGTGAAAGGTCACACAGTTGTCGTACACAACTTAAACAGAAAGTACCCAGCTGATTCCTAATTTGGGGAGAAGTTCTTCAGATGACTCAGGATAGGTTTATCTTTGTAATTACTGCATATTGAAATGAGTAGATCTGATCCGACTTAATAGTTACTGAACTTTAAACCTGTCTTTTCTTCTGTACATTTTTCTCCAGAACTTTTTATTTTCTAACCTACCTTGACCTTTCTCTTTTCTGTCCTTTTCTTACCCTACTCTGCAGCTGATGGAGCAGGAATCAACTCTGCCTCATTACACAGTGACCTAGAAAGCCAATAGCTTGCATCAGCACATCAGTACCACCTGTGCATCTGCCTAAAATAGATTAATGAATTTATTAAAGTTTTGAGGGAGGAATTGTTTTGCTTTTGCTACTGCATCGTTTATTTTTTCATTGTAGGTCAGTGCATACATTTACTTTTTTTTTTTTTAATAAAGTAAAAAGGTATTTTAAGTGAAAACATGCTGATTTATGCTTATGCTGCCCCTTCCACATTATTGAATGCAGCTGAAAGGTTGAACTGGGACTCAAGATCACGTTACAAGAGGACATGCATGGTGGAAAAAATAGGGATCTGATTTTGGGAGGCAAGCAGGGAGTCTTGGTTGGTTTAACTTGCTACCTGAATTTTTCAGATTTACTGTGACCTGTGCCAAAAGAGCAATAAATCCCCAGGGCCAAATTTCTTACACCCAGCTACTGAATCCATTTCTGTGTATCCAGAGTACTGACCTTAAAGTTACTATTAAATTTCCATAACTACTTCTATATACAACTTCTAGGTAAAAAACATTGTATACTTCAAGAAGGATCAAATGATACCTGAATGTCCATCTGCCCTGGAAACATGTTATGTGGCAGTGCTTAGAGAACATAAGCTGCTGCACCTGCTGCCTCTACTTACCCTAATTTACACTGCATATCCACTGTCAAGTTTGGTATGTTGTTACCGTACCTTTTGTAACACAGAAGAGAGTCCCGAAGGCCCAAAATTCCTGTTAATCCCTGTCACTATCACAGGTTTAGAGCCTAAAGCCAGAGCCTCTCCTGAATATCGGCAAGAGGGCAGTAGGAGGATATGACAAAGGAAGAATGAAGAAGTTGGGCAGCCCGCAGGAGGACTATGTCAATGAAAGGAAAATTAAAACCAAGCTACAGTATCTAGGAATTGGATTAATAATACTTGGATTAATTGGATTAATGTAAAGATGCTTATATTCCAAATGTCCTATAATCATTTGTTCCTTTGGAAAGGAGAGAGGTAATTTAAAATCCTCTGTACTGCTTAATAATCATTGTTCAAGTATTTAAGTACAAACAAATTTGGAAAACTCATTTATTATTCAAAGCTTTGCGATTCCTGTACAGTAAGTAGTCATTGCTGAAAAGATGTCTAGAAAGGCTGAGTTTGCGAGAGGAGTGCTGCTGTGCATCTGTAGGCTTCCTTTTAAAATAATAAAGCTCACAAACTCATTATCTGATCTGGCATGACACAGAGAAACTTGTGTGTGCCTTCACATCAAAATCCACTTGACTTGCTGGCAGTTTGTGACTACAGACCATTCAGATTTAAATTCCCAAATGGGAACTTCGCAGCTCTCTCCTCTTGCAACTATTTATTTGATTAGAACTGGTATTAAACTTAGTGAATCAAATTATTTTTGTAGATTTATATAGGCTGATACCTCCCCAAAAGATGAGATGAATATCATGCAGGCTCTTTACCTAAATTCAAAGGTGTGTTATATATTATTAGAAGCTGCGCAGAAAAACAGATGTTATTACAGAATTACAAGCTGAACGCTTATCAAAATGTGTAAAATGTGTACGCTAAAACTACCACACTTCTTGACCAACTTCTGCTATGCTTCTGAACTGGGGCAGCTGTCAGTCTGTGACCAACGCTGCAGCCATATACCAAGTTCTGAGGGACTTTTACAAACACAGCTCAAATAAAAACAATTATTCACTACAATAACTCTGCTTGGGCGTGCACTGCTGTGTGCGTACACGCGCAAAGCTGATACTCAGCATGCCCCGAGCTGGCCAGGTGTCAGAAGGCGTCGAGCTGCTCGCAGCCTGCCGGGAATGCTGCGCCAGGACTTCCGCAAGGTATCGCCGCTCATCTGCCTCCCAGCCTGGGCTTGCTCAATCCACGTAGGGCTGTTGTTGCGCCACAAAGGCCAACCTTCAGGATATAGTTTCTAAATTAATGTGCTGGGGTAAGATAGCTGAGAATTTCTTCCTGCCCTGCACCGCAGGCTGCTACCAACCTTGTGCCAATGCACCTCCTTCCCGGAGCTGTGCGCGGAAAAATGCAAGCTGAATATTCATTAGTAAGGGTTGAGGGTAATAATTGAGGATTATTTGCAAGCAGTGTTATGTTAGGTTTCTCCTTCCCCCCCACTTCCCTTACAAGTGTGTGTGAAGAACTGAGGAAGTGGTGAGGAGCAATGTCAGCTTGGGGCAGTTTCAGACCGGCTTTGCTACCCAGTGTGGTCATCTGACCGTAGCAGAACTCTCCCAAGAGTTTCTTTGCTTTGAGTTAAAGCGAGCTAATAACAGCTTCCAGAGTGTGGGGAGAAAAGGAAACTAAGATTTTTCAATTCATTCTGAAGTATTCAAGGAGATCCCGGCACAGAGTTAATAACCAGGATGCTTCACACAAACAGGAGGCAAGAAATTAGTCCCCATCATCTGAAGGGCCCTGCTGGATGCGTACTGCAGGTGGTGAGCAGACGACTTCCAAAGGCCGTCAGCCTTGAGCTGCTACAACAGCACTGTAAAGTCCGAACCCATGCCTTAAACCACATGTATAATTTTACAAAAAAAAAAATAAATTGCTGAAGTCCTAACTAGGGGCAATGAAGTTATGTGGCCTCTACACTACTCTAGGCAGTGGTACTGAGGATCACTTGCAGCAGTCGTGTGACTCAGCACAAGGTCTGTCATTTTTAAAGGAGCAAAAGTACATTGTGATCATCTTAGCAATCCCGCTTGGCTTGTAGACAGGTGACAGCTGGTGACAGAAGGCTCTGGAGTGGAGATGCACTTCAGCTGGTCAGATGAGTCTGACCTTGTTGTATGCTGCAGAACAAGCCAAAGTATAAACTAAGGCAGGCAAACTCTGTTTACCCTCTCTGTCTAACAGTATCTGAGCTAAAAACCCAAACAGTCAGATGTTCTAATTCCAACTGAAATGGGAACCCAAAAATATTTTCTGAAACACTAAAAATGACTGAGTAATGTAAATATTTCACAGTCCATAAAATGTAACTGCATAGGTATCAGTAATTCCTGTTGATGCTATTTCTTGAGATTTTCCCCTCTTTTTTCAGACTGTTCTTCTGGGGATTATTTTGCTACCTCTCCGTGTCATATTTATTACATTCATTTTATTGCTGTCATGGCTGGTTGCATCAATTGCAACTTACCGTCACCAGGGAGGAGGAGCTGTGCCATTAAAAGGATGGAGAAGGTAAAGCGTGACCAAAATTTATAAAAAGTCTCTACTTTATTTTTTTTTTTTTTTAAATAACACAAGGCCAAGAGATTATGGGAAGTCCCACTGAGGGAACGTGCCAGGTATGGGAAGATTGTCATTTAATTGTTTAAAACTGATTTCAAAACAAAACAACAGTATCAGAGTGATATAAGTTCATACAAAAAAGACACTGCAACTGCTAAGTACTCTCCCTGCCCTCCCAGTAGCATCATGCTAAAATGCTATAAAATATGGCCAGAGAAATAGCAGAACTTGTTGGGGAGGGATGTTGTTAGAGGTGCTGTACATTGCCTTATCTTTAAAATTGTATCTGTGAAATTGTAAGCTCTAACACAGAAGGTGATGGACCTTCCCTCCCCCTGCTTCTTCCCCTTTAGCCCACACTCTCCTTGTGAGTAGTGTTCCTACCCTGTGCCTGGCCACAATGCTGGTGAGATCTATGCATTTGTTTAGAAAATGAGCTGTAATTTGGATGATATTTTTGTGTTTCTGTTTACCAGGAGGATGATCCAGACAAGCCTTTCATGCCTAACTCGTACCTTGTTCTTCATAATGGGGTTCCAAGTTGAAGTAAAAGGGAAAGTGGCAAGTCTGCTGGAAGCCCCCATCATTGTTGCAGCTCCTCATTCAAGTTTTTTTGATGCCATTGTTTCTGCCTTAACTGGAATGCCATCGATAGTATCTAGAGCAGAGAACCTTTCAACTCCAGTATTTGGCAGTAAGTATTCATGAAAAAATAAAACGTTCAAAGTCTTATCTGTGAACCTGATTAAGGGACAGACTGTTTTAAATCCTTGAGTTCCAAAGTTACTGTCAGATTTTCAGTAAAATCACTTGGGGCAGCTTATCTTTCAGAATTGGTCAAAACATTTGAGAGTATGCTGTTTCCTTTCAGGCATGGAATATAATACCACTTTAAATGTGCTTTACATCGAAAGCATGTTTCCTAGCTGCTCAGAGCACAAAATTTATCTGAAAATTCACTCAGTAAGTAGCTTGAACAATCTGTTCAACTGCTGTCTTTTAACAGTATGGCCCACAAACACAGAACGTGTTTTGATAAAGGTTATTTCAAAACAGCCCTGAACTACAGCAGTCTGGAAAATACCATATTCATAAACTTAAACTTGCAGGCACTGTTATGGATATTTTTTAATGGGAGTCAAACCAGGAAGGAATAAAAGAGAAGTTACTCAAAAAGGAAATGCAGAGAATGGGAAAGATAGATGAGTCATGCTTCTATTATTTTCTCCTCCTTTTGGCACAGAAAGAATCCCAGTTTGCATTATTCCTGGAATCAGCAGCAGCCTTTCTGCTGGCTGTATCTCTCTTCTGTCCGTAGGACTCGTAAAAGAACAAGCCAACAGACAGAACTCAGTAGGCAACACAGACAAGTAGCTTGGTAGGAAATAAACTAACTGGTGATATAGTGATCTTGTCTTAAAACACAGGAGTGGGATGCCAAAGCTAGTTATTTCCCCAGTTTCTCATCACATTTCAGCATGTCCACACATTCTGATGTAGAGTTCTGATATAATCAGTTTTGTTTTGTTTTGTTTTTTAATTACCCACAAGCTGTGTCTGCTTCATAACTGAAAAGCACTCGCTTCTTCAGCCTGGGCTCAAGGTACATCTTCAGTGCAGTCTGGATGCGTTGGGCCCCGGTGTAGCCTGTGAGCAGATACCTGAGCAGGTCTCTTTCTCAGAACTGTGTGGAAACGCTCGCTGAAGGATAACAGTAATATTAGTAGAATGGGTGCACGTGAATTTGATAAGTTCATACCTACTGTCAAGCTCCTCAGCTTGAGCACAATAATGATACTCTTATCTATTTAGTCTGAAAGCTGTTTGTGCAGTCTGTTTCCTAGTATGAGCATAACAAGTTTTTGTTACAGGAGAGCCCTGAACACGTGTTTTCTAGGCACTAGTGTAAAACAAATGAACATCTGGATCTCTTTCACAGCAATTTTAAGTTCCCTTCAGCCTGTAGCAGTTTCTCGTCAAGACCCTGATTCACGAAAGAATACAGTCGCTGAGATAACAAATCGGGCATTATCAGGAGGCAAGTGGCCACAGGTAATAAAGATACCACTACTCTTCTGTAATATATCCCAGATACACTGTGGATCATAATGTCAGGCAGTGCCCAGATGAATAGGATTCTGTTGGCATATAAAGGCAGCTCTCAGATCTGTAACAGGTTTGGGAAAGGAAGAAAAGAGGCTGGTGCCCAGAAAGAGTTTTGTCAGGACAAACGAATCAGTTAAATCCAGACAATACCAATTGCTGTTCTAAAATGCAGATGCTCTTAGATTTCATGCCCTATTTTAATACTTAACTTGTTGTCCTCAGGGTAGCAGTTGACTTGTATTGTTATATGTGAATCACTTTTCTCAGCCAAGCTCATGTGTGAAAAGCTGTGGTGCAGAGCTGCGCTCACAGCGGTTAATGAGTAACCCAAACTGTGTGAGCTCCATCATAAACAGTACTTAAGCTTAAAATATTCATTTCACAGGTGGAAAATAGCTGAGCTGAAGGTCAGTTCACTCCTCAGGGTAACAGTGCAGTAAGAACAAAGCTTTTAGATTGGTCTGGACACAATAGTTGGTGATTCTGCACATTGCTTCCCATGGTCATCCCTCAGCAGCAAGCTGCTGTTGTGCTTCTAGACCTTGGGTGGCTTTCCATCCTGAAAACCTAATGGGGCAGAGGCTGCTCTAAAGGAGAAAACAGTTGAGGCAGCAACTCTGCTGCCTTTGGACAGGTAGAAGGCTGGGATAGAAATCTGCATCTACTGGCATCATACTTGGCATTGCCTCTCCACTCTCTTCTGATGTATTGATTGTGGTTTCCTGTCACCTCTATCTTTATGCATTTATCAACTGTAGGGAGGATTTTAAATACGCACTTGTGAAAGCTAGCAAGGCTTTTTTTTTTTTTAATACTATGCTTAGACTCTGCATTGATGCTTATGACTTGTTAAACTGTTGTGGATAAAGTGATCCCAGCAAGGTCCAAACACCTAACCTCTGCTGAAAACAGCAAGGTGAGAAAAAGGAGAATTGGCTTTACACCAATTCTGCAGCTATGTTATGGCACAAAGAGCCTATGAGTCAAGTAATCTGGGAATCTCCGAGACTGAATCAGCTACAGCTGGGGGTATCAGAGGGTGATTCCTAGTCCTGTGCAGCGGCCACACCTTCCTCCTTGACCACAAGATGATGTCTCTGATAACCTCAGCTGAGTGCCTGGGCTGCATTCTTTTAGCACAACACAGAGGAGTAGCTGGATTCCCAATTCCTTCCCCCTCAAACCGAAACACGACAGGCTGCACAACACTCACGCTTATTAATAGCATCAGCTCCTGATTATTGCTTCTCCCAACCCTGTACCAAAACAAAAGGGGAAGAAGGGTATGATAACTTACTGCTTGGACAGTCACTAATATGTTTTCTGGGGCTTATGATGTACGCCAAGCAGAAAGATGCCCATTTTTGTGCCCATAGCACCGGTATATCATATCTTAGAATGGCCTGTGTCTCCTGAACAACAATCTCTCCTTCATCTAGCCTTGACCTCTTAATTCAGACTGAAGTGGGAGCACACCTTGAGCCCTCTCAGTCCAGACCAGTTCTTGTACTGAGATTCTGTGGGATGCTGCTTATGATCCTATAGTGATAGGAGAAATACAAAGCTTCTTTGTATTCCATAGGGGGCTGAATTCAGTGTGTCACATTGCAGCTCACTACACATCTAATCTGATATTTTTCAGAAGCTAACTCAGAGTCCTTCTGGGTATTTGCTGTGTCTGAATCATTCAGGGACTGTGTAGTGGTGTGTAGTGCCATCAGAGCTCTGCATCAGAGATACACCTACACTCTTTGCCTTTTGCTGCTACCCCTTAAGCTGTGATCTCATCATAGCTGGCATCTTGACTCATGTTGATAGCATCTGTGCCTGTAAATGCTCAAGTGCCTCACGCACTTCATGTCAGTCCAGACTCTTGGTGATAATATGCTCAGCAGTTCAGTAAGAAACTGCTGGCAGAGAAACAAAGAGAAGCCTCCTATCATTACCAAAACTAAACATCTCGAGTCAAACACTGGAAACATTTTATACTGTATTTCTGAACTGATAAAGGCCTGTCCCCAAAATTCCTCTCATACAAAGCATTTGTTTCCAAATCAAGATGAATCAGGTTGTTATTATTGTGGGCATCCTTTACTAATTCATTCTATTCTTGTTGAAATAGTAATGGTATTCTTGTGATGCAGTGTAACACGTTACAGACCTGGCATAAAAATTCAGCCTTCATATAAACTGATGCTGAATTATAATCCTTTTATGACACGTATATATTTGCTTTCTTTCTCTTTAAATCTAAGATACTGATTTTCCCAGAAGGCACCTGCACAAACCGATCTTGTCTGATCACATTTAAACAAGGTGAGAAATTTTGTCGCATCTTTGTTGGAAAACAATGTATGAAATACTAGTCTGATAGCTCTGGTATGGCTTTCTGCAGGTACATACCCACAGCAGCATTGTGGTGATGTGTTCTGTCGTTAAAGTTTCAGTGCTGTCTTACATCACTGATGTTTCAGTCGCTCTAAACCCACTATTTTATACTATCGTTTGACTTTTCTCATTTTTTGGATTTTGTAGGTTGCAAAATATCAGTGCTGCATACTTGTTTGTAGTTTTTTGTTGTTGTTTCTTTAGTTACCCAGAAAAATGACTGACTACTATGACATAAACTACCAAAATGCATCCTAGTTACGATGTTCCTTTAATTCAACCTACAGTTGTGCGAACTTAGTTTCCTGTAAATTTTGTCGTGCAAGACATAGCAACTAAACTATGAAATTGTTTGTGTGTGGCTTAGCAAGATAGGCCAATAGATTATTCTTAACACGGAAAGGGGTTTGATAGCATCACTGACCATTAGCCTGTTGTGCTGCACTTCAGTTAAAGCCACAGTGCTCTCCTTTCTTACTGTTGTACAGTATCTTTGGTAGCAAAGTTGCAAAACCAGTACTAAATGCTCGGATTCCTATCACTTAACAAGATGATCAAAACAGAGAAGAGTTCAGGAAACACTCAACAGCCTTGTGAGAATCTAATCCTTTGAAATAAATGGCAATCAAGTGGAGGAAATACACAGAAAATCAGTTTGAACAGTCCGGGGATCTGAGACAGCTTTCTCCTTGTTTTTTTCTGTTTTGACATCTTGCTAGTTGCACCGATGATTTTATGGGAAAGAAAGAAAGAAAAAAAAAAAAAAAAAAAAAAACTTCCATTCCTCTGGCTTTGAAAAAAAATCTTCTTCCAAATATCCTATCTTACTTGAATCTCTTAGAACTTCCAACTGCTGTATGAAGCTCAGTCTTAACAACCCACACAACTTTTTTGGTTGCAGGTGCATTCATTCCACGAGTTCCTGTGCAGCCTGTGCTGCTCCGATACCCCAACAAGCTGGTAAGCAGAACATTCTTGTATCACTAACTGGTAATCTGGAAGTCAAAATACTGACTTAGAGTGTACCTAGGCTGAATATTTTGCTTTGTAACTGAAGAATCTATTGCCCTGAGCTTGTCATTGGAGAATTCCAGGCTTCCCAAGAATCAGCATGACGTAGTTGCTATTCTGATTGTGAAAAACTTACTTCTGGGCATCTTAGCTGTACTTCAAGGAAGAGGAGATGTAAGAAAACATTGCAGCGGAAGTTAGAAACTTCCTGCAAAGTCACAGAGTCTGTACTTGGAAGTCTAAAATGCACACAACTTCCCTACTAGTTATCCTTTTTTGGTCAAGTCCTCTTACTACAGACAGGCTTTCTGAACAAAACCAAAGCTGAACCATGCACTACTTCCAACACCCCTTTCTTTCAGGCAGCTCAAGAAGGCAGCTTTGCAGATGGTTCTTTTTGTGTAACTTTCATTTGTTTTGCTAGGTAACTGTTTACACTACCTGCCAAGTATAGGGGTAGAGCCATATGGCTCCATTTCACTGACAGGTGTAATACTGGGACACAAGTCTAGCGACTGTTAACGTGTTTTTTTATTCCCTGCTCACCACACAAATCCAGAAAAGAACAAACTTTTAATTTATTATTTAAATGATTCCTATGTAAAATCCTTTTGCAGATCAATTTCAAAACAGTGAAACACTTAACAGGGACTGGAACTGCATTTCACTGATAGGATGTAAGGATCTGCAGCACACGCTGTAAAAATTATATATAGGAAGTAATAAACATAGAATAAGAAAAAAATGCAAAGCCAAAAAAAAAACAAAACAAAACAAAGAAAAAGCACGATAGATTACCCATGCAGAGATGTCCTTGAAAACATATTTAGGGTCAATATAACATATATATTTATGTCCTTGTCCAGTGTATTTAGGAGGCTGCCTTTCTAAGTGGACTGGTGAAGTCCACTTCAGAAGATTTATCAGATACTTTTTTCTACTTCTGTTGTTTAGATTAGAATGAATGAGAATGAATGATTTAAAACATCTAAATAACCACTTAAGTTTTATTCCTAATTGTTCATAGAACACAAGTCTGCCATGCTTATTTCCAATTTTTTACAGCAAGAAATCCTAGACCTATGGTCACCTTTATTTATTTTCACTACAGCACTATAACACCATCATCTGCTTTTACTAAACTTGTGCCTGTTTTATGTTGTAACCTATCTGCTCTCTAACTTTGATCTCATCTTGTCATACATTTCTGTGTTTTATTTTTATCCTTAGGATACTGTGACCTGGACATGGCAAGGCTATTCATTGTAAGTTTCTTAATCCTACTAAAAATTACACATAGATTTTTTTCCCCATTGCTAAACAGTCTGACAGACAGATTGGGCAAAGTTAAGACTCATGTTCCTCTAGGTGGCTTTTTTTTATGAGGGGGAAGTTCTTGGAGATAATGCTGTCATGCAGTAGATTTCATATCTGAACAGCTAGAGGAGGAGTTTTCAAACAGGAAAACATTATTTACATCTCTGCCACTGCTTTGTTTAATTTTCTCGTATGTTTTGCATATTACATTAGACCAAGGGAAAACTGGAAATTCTTTTTCTTTTGGGAACAATCAGTGGCCATCAAAGACCATTGATATTAACAGATTCCTACATGGTATAGAAACAAGAGAAAATAAATGTTATTTTATCCCCTCCATTTATTTTTTCCACACCTTCCTTGAAGAGTAACATGACAATAGGTGAAGAAGACAGGCAAAACAATTATGTTTCCCTGTCTTTCTATTCTGACATGTAGGATTCTGTTTGCTTTTACCTGACTCAACAAAAGCAGTTGCTTGAGATGCCAGTGATGAGGCTAAATACAGTTTCTGACAATTAAACAATGAAAAATGTTTTAACAGACCATTTTGGCTGTGGGTCTTGTTTTTTTTGTTGCTGTTTGTTTTTTGTTTGTTTGTTTGTTTTTGTTTTTTTGCAATACAGGTGGTCTTCTGATATGATAAAATATTTTATTAAAAAACTTCCATAAACTGTACCGAAAATACCAAAACTACCATCTGGGAAGCACTTTTCAGCTCATAAACACTCACTAGAACATTATGTGGATTTGCAGAATTCATAGACCATACTTTCATGTGGAATATGTAATGCATCGAAGTGCAGCACTACTGATTTACTATCTGACTAAAATTTTCAGACAACTGATTTGAGACATATCTGAACTAGCGAAGTGGAGCATTTTAAATGGTCTACTTAAAAGTGCCTTTTAAGCTACCGTTAGTTAATCCTACCACTCACAAACTTATAGAATGGACATTTTGAAAGCTGACTTAGATGAAAATACCCATCTTCTTTAGTTTAGATTTTTCTTGTTATTGCTGTCAGTTATCAGCACGCTGATAGTAATATATAGTACAGATTCAGTAGCCTACTATAGATTACTCCGACAAAGCATTTATACTCAAAGATTTAAAATAATTGTCTTTAGTTGTGAGGGAAAATGCAGAACTTGCAGTCTTCATAAAACATCTTGGGTATTGCAGCCAGAATGGACAGTACCAGTGTCCTTCTCAGAAACCTCCTGACCCAGTTTCTGCTTTCACTTGTTACTTTTCTATTTTTGTGTTTTACTGAGTGTCATGCCTAAAATTACATGCTAGGAAATCAAGCATTAAGGGTGGATTCCTGCAGAGAGCAAAAAGGATCACTTAGTTCTGCATTTTTTCTTGTTTTTATTTTTTCAAATTCAGGAACAGAAGAAAGATTGCTTTAAAGCTTCCTATTCTAATTTACATGATTTAAAGTGGAGAGCAAATGTACATTTCTGCTTAAAAATCTCAGTGAACAAGTCATAAATAGAAGTGGATATGCTTATTCTTTTTCCCAGCTTCTTCTTCCCCCTACCTGTTAAAACTTGTCCATTTCTTAAAGCACTGAAGGTCCTGGACACACTGACACTTAATTAACATATTTGTGTAAACATGACTATAATTTGCAAAGTGGGTAGCAAATAGTTACAGATCCTTGCTTCAGTTCTGCAGAAGGAAGTTACTGGCTGTTTTGCAGATAAGAGAATAAAAGATAGGGAAGTAAAGCTGCTTCTCAGAATCAAAGCTCTTAAAGCTTCAAAATCCGTTATGTGTTCACCTCTTTAAAGATAAAATAACACATACAGATTTTGCTAGCCAAAGAATTGTATAGTATTGTTAATAAGTATGACAACAGATAACAGGTTGCCTGCCCAGTGAGCAGGCAGCCGGTGTATGCAGAATCCCTATAGAAAAACATTAAACAACATTTCAGGAAACTTTACTGCAAGGTACTTAAAAACCTCGCCCAATGTTGGCTGTGTTTTCATCAATGCTTCAGAATGTTTCATCTGCAAATACTTTTTTTTAAAATAACTGTCTTTTTTTCCTCTCTCTTCTCCACCTGCAGAAAAGAGCTATTTGTAATGACAATGTGTCAGCTCTTCACAAGAGTAGAGGTTGAGGTAAGAATTAAAAATAATCTTATACTAAGATTCAGTAACTCCTACTGAGTTTGTACGTCAGCATAAATGCATTATTCACGTTCTTAGTCACTGCTAGTGATCTATAAACAAATGTCTCAGCAACAAGAACAGTACCACGGTGAAAATATATTCAGATCCGTTGTCCACATCTCTGTATCACTTAACCTGATGCGTTCCTAAATGAAAGCTGGCAGAAAAGCCTTTATTTTTAAAGCACTGTGAAATCATTGCTAACTTGCTATGTCCATTTAACAATTATAATACATACTATTAAAGGTAACTTGTCTTTTTTTTCCCACCTTCTCATTTCCCTGCTGCCTTGAAAACCTCTTTGTCTTCCTCACCACCTTCCCAGGCTGAACTCTAAAAGGCTTCTGCAACTAAGAGCTCAAGGACTCCAGTGTTTGTACTGTGGAGAAAGCTGAGCCTTGATCAGTAAAATCAGTAGCAGAGCACACAGACAGACGAATGACAACTGACATAAAGTACATACTTCATAACAGCAGTACACTTACTCTAACAGCTTGCTTCCTGTCAGAGTCAACGTTCAGAATACAGTCGTGAGGAGCCAGATAACAGCTGTGATCACTTTAAGGGTTGTACTTCACATTCCGTGACAGACCCCAAAGATTGTCAGTATCAAGCAATTTGGTTTAGGGACCTGAGTAATGGGAGAAATTCAGGCAGCTTTTGCTGCTTATTTGAAAAATACAGAACTCACGAAGTTGTGCAGAGCTCTCTGAACACAAGCAGTGCTGCTGCTACTAAAATCTAGCAATACAGTCTTTGTTGTCAAACAGTTAAATTCATTTTAAGGGAGCATCTTGTATACTATAATACATGCAGTAAACAGTTATATTTATGGAATGTGTACTAAAGATAGAATTCTCCTCATGATTTTGCACAGAAGGACATACCTGTGTAATTCATACACGTGCGAACAAGAAGTAATTAATGTAGCCCTTCCAGTAGAAGGTTTATTTCCTCCTACTTCAGAATGGAACTCAAACTTGCCTGTTAGAAAATAAATTCTGTTCCCAAAGGTGAAACCAAAACATAAAGAAATACACAGCTTTCACAGCAGCACGTGTCCCCAGGGTGAAAATAATTGCAAATCATCGATGCAAAAGTCCTACCAAAAGACCGAAGAGAAGGGGCAGATTGACCTGGAGAGGGAGGAAATCAGACTACTCCTTTTAGCAGTGGACTGCCACATGCTGTGAACAAGCAGCCTCTCCATTCCCATCTGTACTGCTCTGCCTCTTCCTACAGTGCATCAACCATGATGCAGAATTGCAGTCCGAGGAAGTATCTAGCCAAATTGTGTATATTGACAATTAAACAGTGAACGTGGCCGTGAGTTTTATGGCTGCAAAAATTGCAGCATTTGGCAAATTCTGTAAGAAGATAGACCAGGTCAAAAGCAAATCAGAGACGAATTTTTGATACTGAAAGTGCTGTGAAGAATTTTTCTTATAGGATTGCAATTTGACAGCAAAGGTATACTTAGTAGTCATCACCCGATAAGCAGCTGGGTGTGTGTGAGATCATGCATGCCTCCTTCGGAGGCCAAGAAACCAAATTCTTTACCTCCTGCTCTGGTTTCTGGCAAACTGGTTTTATGAATAATTAGTGGTAGGCAGGTTTTTTGAAAAAGTGGTGGTGTTTCACCTACCAAAAATCTAAATTGCTGTCTGAGCAAGACCTCAGCCTCAGATGATATAATGACCACCTACAAGACCATAAACCATGTTTACACAGATAAACTTCTCAGACTTGTGTTCTCATCTTACCCAGTGATAACACCATTCTCCGTGTCTGTACAGAGTATCTGTGCTTCCTCAATCTAGGAGTTACATGACTTCTGCAGGGGACTTGTAATAAGCAGGGACATGTGTCAGCCTTGAACCGAGCTGGAAGCTCCTTGTAGAAGGAATGAAATCTCAAAACTTCGTGTGAACTGCTGGGCCCCTGCTGTCCTTCCAGGAGAGAAAACTCCTGGCTATAAACAGTGAATTGTAATGGTTATTTGACAGATAACTTGTTCCATAAACTTACTGGTTTTGGTCATAAAGAGGCAGCATTCTTTAAAATCAAAGACAAAAAGGCTGGTCAGGATGGACTGTGTTTATAGTTACCAGTTGGATGTAGTTACCATTATGGTAGTGTATCACCAACAACTAGATAAAAAAAATGAAGAAATATGTTGACAGATATTTAGCAACTGTGCCTGCTAATGAAGAGTCCAACATCTTAAACTTCTAGCATTGCTGTAGTCTAGGATTGAAGGGCAGGACTGTGGGATGGGAGGCAGTGTAAGTGAGATAACTGATAATCACAAATGAGAACTGGTACAGGAATCTGAGCTGCAGCTGACCACTCTGTAGACTGAAGGAGGAAGAACAGAATACACATACACACACACCTGCTGTAATAGACATATGCTTGGATATCTGCTCTGTTTTCTGAGCTTGGGAAAAGAGTGGGTTGTTTTGTTGGGCTTTTTTATTCTCTGCTTGGGGTTGCACAATTTTATAGCATCAGTATCCATTTAGCACTCTGTTGGTAATTCAGAGCTAAGATCCCATTTTTACCACAGAGGAGAAACTTACAGGGAACTTATCGATCACATCCTGACAGATACAATTAAGGGGTACTGGGTGCTACTGTGGCATGTATGGAAAAAAAAACTACAAATCTTACACACACTTTTCCACTAATAACATAATTTATAAGGAATCTTTGAAAAGATTTGTACAGGATTTCAGATGTGCATTCTCATAGACACAGCATTTAATTTTATAACTACATATGTATTTAATTTTCTTCTTTGGAGTTTTAATTTTTCTTTTTTAAAGCTGCTTCTACCAACCTTTAAGAAGCAGGGTGGACTTATCTTGTTTGTGAGCCCGAGTTGTTTCTAAAGCAGTTGAGACCTCTAGTGTCCAGTTCTTTCATTGCATGGCTGACTTTTTCTCCTGTTTTTCCCCTATTCCAGACAATAATAAGAAACTGTCTGTGTTGTTAATAAAGTGGTGACTCTTAATTGATCAGATAACTCCTTTCTTTCAGTTTTTGCCTGTTCATGTGCCTACTGAGGAAGAAAAGAAAGATCCCATTCTTTTTGCCAACAGAGTCCGACAAACCATGGCAACGTATGTAACATCATAAATAAAATCCTAGAGAACTTTTCTTTCATATCTATCCATATATCCTTTTATATATGTCCATACACATCCTAGCCACGTACTCCAGGTACGCTGTCACACAGTTAAGTCGTGTGTGCTATACATAGGTGTCAAATTCCTATACCAAAACACCCTTGGATTGCTTTTATGTAGAGCATAAAGCAGATTGTGTTGGAACATAATATGTTCAAAACATGGAAAGCTGAAATAAAATCCTGCCTTACTTGCTTGACAAGAATATGTAAATGGTTCTCTAAGGTTACTGGGCTGCATTTACAAGACTGTAAATCTTAAACCATCATGACACTGCCATAACATTTCAAAGTATGGCTTCACAAAATGTATTGCTCTATCCTACCTTCAGCAAAGCAAGAATGAATTATTGTGTGTTTTGTATATTAGCATTAAAGCCAAGCTGAGGTGGTGGGAACAGGAACAGTCAACTCAAAGTCATTTTTATATATGAAGTTGATTTCTTTTTCCTTAATTTTCTTAATTTGTTTTTCAGTGCTTTGAACGTGCCAGTCACTGATCATACTTTTGAAGATTGCAGACTGATGATTTCAGCAGGACAGCTAACTTTGCCCATGGAAGCAGGGCTGGTGGAGTTCACCAAAATTAGCAAGAAACTCAAGTAAGGGAAGTTAAGCTGTTGGTGGTAATAATTACTGCCACGTTGCAGTTCATTTGTCATCTATAAAAAGAAAAGTGACCTGACAACTGACCTGGCATGGCTCTGGTCAAATATAAAGTCTGTGCACTGTGAATCTAGACTTGTTACATATGTGCCACACACTTATTTATACAACTCCATCTGAAAAAATCTTCAGTAGTTACATGGCAATCATAATTATTCTTACCAAAGTGCAGAGCTGTAATTTTGTAGAGAGATCAGATGCTTCCCAGGCTGCAGCAATATTAGTGTTTGGGTAGAGAGTTAGCTAACAGAGTTGAGACATATACCCTTCTGTTAAAGAAATATTCACAGTAACACCTAATGTAGCAAAATAATGTTATACCTGAATTTATGGCAATGAAAACAAAACCTCTCCACTGGACTAGCCTGTTGATAATAGGTTTGGGAAGGTAATCTAAGGAATTCTGAAATACCCAAGGATAGAACTGGCTGCTTTTCATACTAATGGCCATGGGGGGGCAGTCCGTAATTGCCGATTTCATACAAAATATCAGCCTGGAAGTACAGCATTTCCAGTGCTGTACACTCACGCTCTTGGCTATTTTTTGTCTTTGAATACTATAATAACTCCTACTGAAATTCCATCTGTTCAAGATCTGCTGTATAGAAAAACCTCCTCTCCCTCATGTTTGCATAGCCTAAAATGGAATCACGTCAGAGAGCAGTTGGATACCTTTGCTGCTATTGCAAGTGCTTCCAAAGGGGGAAGAATTGGAATTGAGGAGTTTTCAGAGTACTTGAAGCTGCCTATTTCAGATGTCCTCAGAGAGCTGTTTCACCTCTTCGATAGGGTGAGTAGTCTGTTACCTGGCTGGAGATTTGTTGGCAATGTTTTGTTAAGAACTACATCCCAAAAGATATTTAATTCATTACATACAGCTTAGTAAATGCTTCTTGGTTAGCAATTCCACAAGCTAGACAGGTGACTCATACAGTTACCATTTTTTGTTTTGATGGAAAGAAGTTGGTCAGTTTGGAGTTGTGAGATGACAGCCATCTCTTGGAACAAGTTGCTGCACCACCATCACCAGATGATAATCTCCAGGCTGGTAGTGGCTGAGTATTTGCTTTTGCCTACCGAGATTTTGCTCTCATTTACATTCTGACAGCTTAATTAAGTGCTGTAGTTATAAGTAGATAATTTAAGGCAGATTGAAGCTAACTAGATTGTGTTCCTGCTGTGTTTGTGAAAGGTGTTATTAGACACTGTAAAAACTCCTATTGCCTGTCTCCAACCATAAAGAAGGCATGTGCCAGTGCTAATCTGATCATCTAGGCTTTCCTCCACATTTTATACTCATCCCTGAAGATAGGGAAAATTGCTGTGTGGATGTGCTTCTCTGACTACACCAGAAACCTAAGTAACTAGAGTACAGTGTAGAATTCATCTTACTGTATGTGTCCCATATGTGCTACACTGGAAGCAGTGTGTTTTACTGGAAGTGCTTATGAACCAGTTTGTTTCTCATCTTGGGAGCTTTCCTAATGCAGCATCATTCTTCCCAGTCAAGTTAGATCTAGCAATACACCTGTCCTTGGGAGGGCAAGTTGTTGTGTTGATTTGAACTTCCAGGATTTTCCCAAATACAAAGGATTTACAGACTTTAACATAGAGATATGTCAAATATATTTCTATAGTTGCTGAATGCACAGAAGCTCTAGCAGATAAGGCACTCATCTTTTTTCCATTCCTGCCTCCTCATCTTGGACTGTTGGCTCCTATGAGCACATAGCTGAGTTCTGAAGCACAGCACAAATGTAAGAGAAATACAGTGAGGCAACCAAAATAATTAAAGGTAATCAAGACTCTTTTCACCTCCCCTTTCTGGCACAACTGCTTCAGTGACTGGAATTTGCAACATAATGCACAATTCACCAAAAAGTTGAAGGCATAAAATATTGCAAGAACAGTTGAGACTCTAGTAAGCTTTCCCTGTATTCATCTTTAGGAGAGAAGCTTTACTGAGAAATGGTCACACTAAGGTGGAGGGCTCTTTTCAAACTGCTTCAGTTATGAGCATATGTTTCTTGAGACTTGTCCTTTCTGGCTTTCAGTCTCTTCATTTTTTTTGCTAAAAAGATTTATCAAATCTCATAAAGCTAAATATACAGACAAGAAGAAAGAAGCAGAGGCATATCAACGACTGGCAGAAACTGCTGAGATCTGCGATAACTCTGGCAGCTGGAGACATGCACAGACACGGTAAAGTCTAAGCACGCAGATAAGCTGTGTTCTGCCCACACCCAGCTCAGACACAATACGGCTTTGGAGAGTTACAGAAGCACTGGATCTCTGAGTAACTCCCTTCAGAAAATCTTCGCAATGTTCCTGGCTAAAGCTTTGCTGAGTGGAGGAAGCGGTAGTGGCCGTGGAGGAAGCCTCGCACGTGGCCTTGGAGGTCTCCTCACAGGAGGCGGACATGGAGGGAATCTTGGAGGACTTGTTGGAGGTCTTGTCAATCTCATAAGTGAAGCGGCAGCTCAGTATAATCCAGAGCCACCTCCACCTCCTTACAACCATTTTACGAATGCTGAAGCTCATGAGAGCGAGGAAATTAGACGGTTCCGTCGCCTTTTTGTCCAGCTGGCTGGAGATGATATGGAAGTGTCTGCTACCGAGCTAAGGGAAATCCTGAACAAAGTGCTTTCCAGACATCAAGACCTGAAGACAGATGGCTTCAGCTTAGACACATGCCGTAGCATGGTAGCAGTCATGGACAACGATACAAATGGCAAACTGGGCTTTGAAGAGTTCAAATATCTGTGGAACAACATCAAGAAATGGCAGTGCGTATACAAGCAGTATGATACCAACCAGGCAGGTGCTGTTGGGAGAGCTCAGCTGCCGGAGGCCTTGCGGGCTGCTGGGTTCCACTTGAAGGAAGAGCTCTGCCAGGTAATCATGCGCAGATATGCCAGCGAGGACGGTAGCATGGATTTTAACAACTTCATTAGCTGCTTGGTGCGCCTGGACAGCATGTTCGGGACCTTCAAGTCCTTGGACCAAAATGGAAGTGGGCAGATCAAAGTAACCATTGACGACTGGCTGCAGCTGACCATGTATTCGTGAAAGCATAGCAAAGAAGAATAAGCTTTATCTGAAAGATCCACATGGAAGACTGCAATCCTGTATTATCAAGCTGTAGTCTTTTCCTTATTCTAGGGTAGATGTAGGTAGAGGTACTTAGCTTAGATTGAAGTGCTGTGATTCCTCTCGTGCATGTGTTAGTCTGCTCTTCTGGAGGCTTTGTGCAAGTTATCAGTTGTGCAGATGCATAAGTCTGTCTCAGAAAACTATGTCTAGACTCTGAAATGAGGGAATATGTTGAAGGATCAAAGCTTAGTTATTTCCTCACATAAAGCAGGCTTGCATAGGAATATAACTATTATTTAAAAGGCTCTAAGTTTGGTGGGTTTTGTGATGTTACTGTTCCAATTTGTCCGCATTCAGTAAGCTGAAATAAAGCTCTGCTTGCCTGAAGGCAGTCACCAGTAGAGTTGAATGAATTCATAAGTTGTGCAGTTATTTCTAACAAGGGAATAAACATTAAAGTTTCAATGACTATAATGATCAATAAATTTACATAATCATATTTTACTTCCTTCCTATTTCTGCTTTTTCATGCTTGTCTGCTAAACAAAACCTGAGTAGAAGTGCCACTTCTACCTACTAGCCAGGGCAAAATTGAAGGTATATAAGGCTACTTTTACAATCTTTTTCTCCTTCCTACGACTCTATTACCATATCTTTTCTCTCTCTCCTTGAAACCTTATTATAGTTATAATGAAAACAACTTAAAATATTACACTTATATTTAGAGAAACTTGCCGTAGTAATGCAGTCACACAGCAGACAGCCAGCCAAAATCAACCTCTGGCTATCAGACATAACTTTGCATCAGGGTGCAGCATCCCACTCAGGCTAATAGCAGAGTTTCAAGATGTCAATTTTTGAGTAATACAACAAGAAATAACACAAACTGCTAAGGGTGTATTTTTCTGAATTAAGGAATACATAGCTGAGGATAAACAGTTCTTGTTCTGCGAACTAACGAGGAAGATTTCTCAGCAGGGTTGCTTTAAAAGCAAGTTGGCTAGGGTGTGTGCTGCCCGATGGGAATGTGACACCAGGAGCGGAGCAGGCAGCAGCTGCACACAGCCTCCATGTGTAGGAGTCCAATGCCCCTGCTCCTCCCAGTGTCTCCATCAGTGACTAACAGAAATACCACACAATACCTGCAAGGCAACTGGATGCTAATGCAGTACTGAGGTTTGGTTTGGTTTCTACATTCCCATAGCTTTGATTTTTCAATCTTAGAGTTGCACTCAGCCAAGTATTTTCCAAACTGATGAAATCTCCTCCCTGGTACACTTGCAACAGCTTTTTACTTGCAACTTAGGAAGAAACTTACAACTTTTGCTCTTTTTTTTTTTCTTTTTCCTCCTGCACTGTGTTTAGTACCAAGCCAGGTAACACAAAGAGTAAAAATATTTGTGTTGGCTCAAACTGTGATGAAAGAAGTCAGTCCCTTTCAAATGACATTCACCCTCACCCCAGGTATTCAATGGAAAAGTGCAGTTATCCACAGGGGCATTTGGGCTCTCTGAGTAACAGAAAAGTGGGTGTTGAGAGAAAACGTGATGCCTCCAGGGGAGCACCACCCTACCAGGTTTGCTTCAGAATTCCCTTTCTGACAAGATACAACTTGCATGTAGCAACAGGCAGTTGAAATTTTTGACTGAGAGCAAAAGCCTCTTATATAATGAGCCTGAGAGCAAAAGCCTCTTATATAATGAGCCTGGGTGTGAACACGAGCCATGCAAGTGCAGTTCCTCTCCAGGTGGTCCAGTTGTGGCTTCTCTGTGGTAGCTCTGTAGCCAGCTCGAGGTTTACTTAGCTAATCAGAACAGGAATGACCAGTGCACATGTACACTTCATTTTTCCTGTCGCCTTTGTACAATACGAGTTTTGGGGCAGTAGTATTTTGAATTTTACTGACTGCATCTGTCTTGCAGAGAGCTTTGCCAGCTGCCTAAAGCTAACTGGTTATTTAGCTTTGATCTCCTTGTGCAGCCATAAATGGAGACTGTTTATGGCAGTGGAAACTTCCTTCTCCAAAGAGTAAGGTACATTATATTATATAAAAACTACATCAAAACCCTAGTTACCCCACATGCTGTAGCACAGATAGTAGCAGAAAACTTGTTTGCTTTAAGAAAACCAGGGCTGTTGAGGCTACACTCTTTTGGTTATTTTAATAATATAATTAAAAACATATAAACATGTTCTACTTCGATATTTAGAGAATTGGAGCTTAGCTCACGATTCCTTAAAATGCGCTTGGGTGTATTGGCTGCAAACACAGCTAGGTATGTGTACAACAGCTGTTGTAGTTGCTCTTTTGTGCTGGTGCTACAGAAACATGGAAGGTTTTCCAGTGTTTTCAGTTTTACTTCCATCTCTCTTCCCAGGCAACAAACCCTATCATTTCTCCTTAACCAAAATGCCAGAGCATATGGAAGTTAGCCAGCATCTTAGGGCTTAGTAGACCTAGTCACAACATGATCTTACAAGTCTAGTAATTTCATTTCATACTCAAGCTGCTGGCGTTCTCTGTATCAGATTGCTCTCAGTTTTGATTATTGGGTTTTAACACTTTAAGTAGAGTAACGTGAGCCTTGTTAGCTCTTGTCATTTTTCAAAGCTGTGTTTACTGATTTCAAAAGTTGTTTTTGAATTAATTTAAAGTTTACTGTCCAATTCTTTTTCTGTGATAAATATTCTTAACTTTATGTATGTTTATATATTCTAATGCCATCAAATAATCCTTTGCTAAGAATGAAGTCTATAAAACTGTCCAAAAATAATATTCCAAAGCCCTTTGGACAATTATTATCTACATTGTTGCTTCAGTCGTCTTAAGAGTTTAGGTTTATAATGTTACATTTCAAAGCTAGGGCTATTATAATTAGGAGAACTGCGACACGGCCAAAATACTTAAAGTGAACCTCTGCTGCACAGTGACACAACTGATTATTAAATAAAACAGCATTTAGGAGAGAATACTGCCCTTTTCCAATGATTAAAAGCTGTCGAAAGTTGTATCCCTTGACACGCACCAGACTTAAAACTATTCATATTTTTGCTAAACAACTATCTTAAGATCTAATTCCAGTAACAGAAATCCCTGTTTCCTAGAGCCCAAGACTTCCAAAGCACTCTACAGAGCAGCCTTAGCATTTCTCCACTGGGGAGCTCCATATTCCACTAGTCAGCAGGAGAAAACCAGGAACAGAAAGGTTAAGCGTGGTATGCTGAAGTGGGCATTGGAAGCTGGTGGGAGAGCCAGGAATAGAAGCAAGTTCTGGCTGTTCACTACAGATTTACCCAGGAGACCACCCCTCTTTCACTTGGCTGAAAATGTTTTGTGCTGTTTGTTCTCAGACTTAGTGAGTCCACTTAAGAAAAAATAAAAACCTTGAAATGTACAGCACATTATCTACAAAAGGAACTCTGCTTTACATTTTTGTTTGCTTTTTAAATGTTTTTAATGAATGTCCTTAACTGTGAATGTTCCAAACTATGAGCTTCGAGTCATCACAGCTATGCTTTCATTAGCTGCTCTGGGTCCCATCACCAACGCTAACATATGGCTGCTTCCCTAGGCTGGATGTTTCCCAAAACCCTCAAGAAAACTTTCAGTGTGGTCACAGGAACATTACTGACTTAAACATGTATTCCAGTGGGCGTCTACTGTTTTTCCTGTCTGGAAATACAATGCAGGTTACATGGAATTAATCACAAATCCCATCAGCGAAAGCTCTGATTGAAAGAGCTGTGTAGTTACTGTGTGGAAATGTTCATTCAGGTCAAAACTACAATTATCAGACAGGCTGCTACAATTAACTCGTTGCATTTCTAGCTTACAATGTATTTGCTTCAAAACAGCATGTAGGGCAATGCATTTGCTTCAAAGAAAAGCTTAAGATAGACCATGTTGATTTACTGCGTCGTCAGGCTGTACTTTTGCTGGCGTATATTTTATTGCTGAAGGTTCTTAGGAAGAATTAACTCAAGGCAACAGCCTCACTGCTGCCCTTTTTATTCTAGGATGTTGCATTAGTCTGAGATTGTGCTACATGAACGTTTCCATTTCCCTTAAGCACCTGTATTACAGTTCTTGTTAGGGGTTTCTTAGAGGCCATACGCAAAAGAAAATCTCCTTGTTTTAAATTGTTTTAAATCTTTTCACTTGTGTGTTTATAAGATAGAAATTGATACCTATTGATGCCCCAAATTGGGGATCAATTTCTATTTTGCTACTTCATCCCTATTATTACACGAAGTTTGAAAGCTGTTAGTATTTTATCCAGGAAGAAAAAAGGCCCTTAATGTTGTAGCTGTCTTAGTGCATGTTGCATAGTGGATTAGTACAACAGCTTTTAAAGTGATTTGCACTATTAGCCATAACTCCTGCCATATATATTTTGGTTTCAGAATGGAGATGGCACCATCGACTTCAGAGAGTATGTAATTGGTTTGTCTATTCTTTGTAACCCAGCCAACACAGAAGAGACTATTCAGATGGCATTTAAGGTAAGTTCAATTTAGTGTAAATCTACAAACCTGACAAATCAAGACTGACTGTGAATCTGTTAGTTTTCAAATCATAAGTTTATAGCTTCAATCTGTTATGCAAATGTGAGTAATTCTCTTAAACCAATTGACATTTAGAGTGTGAAGGGGAGGGCGAGAATTGCAGGCATCAACTTCATAGAAAAGGGTTTCAAAAGCCATGTGAAGGCACTAATGAATATGTAACTTGGCAGGCTAACTCCAAAAATGATTCAGCAGCACTTGCAGTTTTTCCCCCGAGGTTTTTTTCTGCTGTGATTCTTCAGTGTCGCAAGTAGACAATAGTTGGAACACTATTGGAACAATATCCTCTTGAGTCAAGCACTCAGCAGAGTCCCTCTTGTTAACAGCCTAGGAGGTTGGGGTGAGAGGAATCAAGGATTATTCAGGACTGGCACATCCAAAATTGGGCTGCATCAGAGATCATATATTTGCTTGTCCTATGGTTTCCTGATAGTTTGGGCAGTTGAGGAGTGGTAGCACCTTTCACATCCCAAGTACAAGCATGCAGCATGCAACCAGAGATGCCCATTTTTGAATCCTTGAACACAAAAATGCCTAAGTGCCTTTTTTTTAAAGTAGATATTTGACACAGATTCAGGTATTTTACCCACCACTCTCCTCTTATGAACAGCACTGAACATTGTATTAAGATATTGATCATATTCATCTTAAACTGTATACATTTTAATATTGATTCTTATTCAGGAAGTGCCCATATTTTTATGGTAATCCATTATCATGGTTGCTTTGCAGGTAAGTGCCACAGCTGTTCGAAGTTGTTGATGCTTCTGGAGGATGTTTTATTACTATAGATTCCTCAGAAGAAGCAAGCCTTTGCTGCTTTATTCTTCTGTTTTCTAGACTACATTCTTCAGTACTGTAACAGTTGCATTGATTATAAAAAATGTAATTCGTTGTCATTCCCAATTTTAGTGTAAAATGACTGGTTCAGCTGGTAAAAAGTCCATTTTGTCCTGAAATGGCACGATGGGTTTTCTTTTGCTACTTGTTTTCTTTGCCACTAAATGTGCTGTCCTTCATAATGGGACTCTTTGCCTGTAGCAAGTGCTTAAGAATTACAGCCATCCATCCCTTGTATTTCTCAAGGGGGTGATTCATAGCAGATGCATATTGTCGCTGTGCTGGGAAGGATGGCATGATCGGTGTACATGCACAGCCTGCATTCCAGTCACCAAAATTCCTCTTAATTATAATAATTACTTAGTGGGTGACAGGTCAGATATACCAGAAGTTAGGTATTTTACATCAGAGCGTTAACTATGGCAAGTTTATCAGATGCCAGATGTGCCATAACTGGAAGACTAAATTGGAAGGCTAAAACCTAAGATATGCTAGTATAGAGTGGTTGAATCCAGCAGACCCTCAGTATAGCTCACAGTGACAATTATCATAAACCTTTGTTTTAAAGTGTTGTATAAGTTCTCTTACGGAGCTAATGCTGTGAGATTTCTTTGCTCTCACACGTTTGCTGCATACTTTTCCTAGTACAGAATATTCTAAACCCAACTACAGCATGTACGTTGCTCTGCTACATTTCTGCTTAGTATTATTCCAGAGAAAATACATAAAAGCTCTTGTACGAGAAGGTAGCTGAGGTGGAACCAGTCAGATGGTCAACTTTTCAAATCCCAGGCATTGTTCGCAAATCATCTCTTGAATACTAGGGTATGGGTGGCTGGTTTGTACGTAGAAGGTTCACAGGCATACGAATGCTAAAGCATTTCTACACCTACATCTTTTCCAGCTCTTTGACTTGGATGAGGATGGCACTATAACAGAAAATGAGTTTGCTTGTATCATTCAGTCAGCTCTGGGGGTGCCTGAGCTTGATGTTTCTAACCTCTTTAAAGAAATAGATGCAGATGAAACCGGGAAGCTGTCCTACGGTAAGTTACATCCTTTTATAATGAAGAGCACTCTGACGGTCATACCAACAGTGACACCTCTTTTTCCCCAAAATATCTGCTGGTTTACATATAGTTTCTGGGGAAAACTGTTGCAGCACAGACCCAGATACTTTGCATATGTCCAAGATGCTTCAGAAAAACCTAACTGGAAATCACTTTCATTAAAAGAAGCAGGCTCTGAAATTTTCTTTGATTCTGTTGCCACACTGTAGTATCTGTGTTTTTTGTATTTTTCAGATGAATTCAAAGACTTTGCACTCAAGCATCCAGAATATGCCAAGCTGTTTACTACATACTTAGACCTACAGAGATACCAGCTAGGTATGTTGGAGGAAGATGACATTCAGCCACCTGAAGCCAAATACACTCCAGTTGGAAATGCAGTCCCAGTCTCAGAAACAAGACCAGTGGCAAGAAATAAAGTCTGTCCTGCAGACAACGAAGAGGATAACTCAGGTACCTCAGACAAAAAGGATGACTGAGAACAGTTGAAGAATTCATCTCTTGAATTCTACAGGAATGTTTTCCCTACCTATTCATAAGCACAACTGAGAGAAAAAAGAGATGAAAGTTGCAATTCAAAAACAAAATATATATATAGTATCATTTATTTTTTTTTTTACTTTTCGTATCTCAAAGAGCTATTCCTGAGTGTAAGGGAAAAAACACTGTAATTATTTTGTCCTCGATGCCAGTATCACACCATTGGGAATGGTTGCTCACTGTCTTCCAAGTTCATGCTTCCACAAAAGCAACAGATGTACTAAGAGGGTTAAAAGGCTCCAGCACTGACAAGACCTTTCACAGTAGAGACTGAGGAGTCCCAATGTATAAAAACAGGTAGAATTTTTGGTGCTGCTCAATTTTTCTACATCTTTAACACGTCTTAAGGCAAAAAATAATTATACCAGAGAGTTTTAATTTGCAAATATCCCTTAGCCTTTCTTCAGAGAGACAGAAATTAGTTACAGGAAGCTGAGAGTTGAAGCTGGTGTTTTCTTTTAGTTGTCCTTAGATTTCCCTTAACTACTTGTGAACTGTAAAGCCTAACCTTCTGAACAGGACATGCTGTTTCACTGATGTTAACAGTAACAGCTTTAGGCTTACAGGCTAGTTAGAGATGGAAGTGGCTGCATTTCTATGCAACAGAAAACTAATCAGAATTCCAAGATAGCAGTTCACAGACCACAGGAAAATGTAGACAATAAGACCCAAGAATTAATGGACTATTTCAAAATAAATAGAATATTGCTTACAATAACAACTGTTCAGGACCACATTAGGAGGAACATTTCAAACCTCAGCATATTTTCATTCTAATAGTTATCAACAGAGGAATGTGACCTTGCTCTGCAAAACTTGAAAGGTAAATATGCTGTCAAACCATAGTTCCAGTAGTTTATATCTACTCTAAAATGGTCTCCTAGAAACCATATTTGCATTACTGTGCCATTACTCATTATGGTTGTAGGGTCTGATTCAAAACCAAGCTCTTTCTGGTCAATGATTTGAGTATGTTTTGCCTCAGTCCCGTCTAGTGCACTGGAAATTGAGCCTTTTCCTTTTTCTGTCCTTCATTTGAATGCACTTTATACGGCATTTTAAATATACAGGTATTTACGCAAATAGCTTCTAAATAAAAAGTTGGAGTGGAATGACAGGATATTTTCAAACTAAAATTGAGGTGAGCGAAGTCTAGAATGTCTAGTACCAAAAAGAACCAATTTTCAGCTGGTTTTCATATGTGAAATGTCAAGCTTTGCCTCTAATTTATTGTTTGCGTTTTCTGGCTCCAAGTGTATTGCCACATTTAATCTTTTCTGTATTTATAACTGTGCCTATCCTGATGTTTCACGTGCTTAAAATAAATCTATATTTTTACTTGAAGACTTTACTTGAACAATGCATGTCTTCTTAGTACAGTCGGAAGGGCACTCCATCGTGAGGTGCTGGGGGGATTTCCAGGAAATCATCCTTATGATGTCTTACTTTGCTAAACACAATGCAATTCCAAGTGGGTATTTTCAGTTCGGAGTATGAAGGCACTTTTCCTTATGCTATGGCTAAAAATGTAGGACAGGACTGATGCTCTTCCAAAGAGTTACTTCTGCTGACTGCCTCAGCAAGAAGGAATATGATACAAAGTAGACTTGCAGGTATCTGGAAAGATCTCCCTCTCTTCTGGCAGAAAATAAGGCATCACCATTGGTGTGTAGAATGAGCGACTCCAACCACAGTTACTGAGAAGTAACTAACATGGCTTTGTGTGATTTGAACATCAGGAGAGAATGAGAGGCAGGGGATACCCTAACCTGGCTGTACAGTTAAGTGAAATGCACGTTAATTCCTTGGCAAGGATGCTTTTGCCTATCACTTCAAGTGAATTCCTCAGCTTCTCAACCAGCAGTAACCTTTTCAAATAAGGCTTCTGTTCCAGACAGTAAGAAAAAGATGTGTGGGCAAAGATACCAAGAACAGCTACTCCAGGCCCATGACTGCTGAGACTGCCTTACATGTGTTGCTGTTGAATCTAGCCACATTAAACAACTGGAACACTGTGCTGCCCACTATTGCAGCACATTGAGGACTGGTGATTTTATAAATACATGCAAGTCACACAAACGCCTGGCAATTAAAGCTAAAAATACCATATATATAAATCTACATCTCTCTATAGTTTAAGGAGGAGAGGCCACAAATGGGTTTGGTACGTAGCAATGATTCAACTATCCTCTGGAAAGAACTCAGCTAAACGTTAGAGACACTAACTCAATATACACACATCTGCTTGATGTGCGGGAAGGGAATACATTAATTTCTAGGCATCATTGTGCCTCAGGAAGCTTTTAAAAGGACCAAACTAAAAGCAGGCTGCAACAAACAGGCATTGCATTAAGTGGCAGAGCAGGAACTGAACAGAAAGAGAAGGCTAAAAATACTAAACAGAAGATGGTTCTCCATCAGGTGCTGAGGAGTGACACCTTTCTGCTCCTGTACAGAGCATTGCCTCGCTGCCTGAGACTTCCTGACATGTGAGATCCCGTCTAAGCAGCCCTGCTTAAGGATCATTTTGAGTCCCATACAGCAGAGCTAGAAAGGTATCTTTGATCTCTTGCCACCATAGGAAACGTCATGTATTTAAATCAGTACTGCTCTGTCCTGCTGTAACATGGATTTGATGACAATACCTTCTCAAAGTACGACACTGTGAACCTTACACAAACTCCATCAGTCTCAGCAAGGGTGAGAATCAGATGAGGACAACTGTCCACTGCAAGAGGAAAGCACAATTAATTCCCAAGAACAGATGCCCATGGGCTGCTGTTTTTCACGTTTTCTGATAACGATGTGCATGCAGTACATACAATCAGTTTGGAGAGATCTTATTTACATTTTTAAAGCTAGATTCCTGCTCCTGAACACATGACAGGCAATGGATGCTCACCCAGAAAACCAGACCTTCCTTGCTCACCTGGAAAGAGAGAAGATACTAATACCATAAATCCTGACTAACTTGTTTAAGGAGGGTGAATTAATAGGGTCTCCACTGGCCACTCCAGAGGCTGATTTCTTAGGGAAAGGTCTGATCTGAGAAAATTAAAAGTGAAGGCTTCTGTTATCTGCCCTAGCAATTCTCATCTAAAACAAAGCATTCCCTGGGTATCAGAAGTCTCAAAAACATTTGTTGAGATCTTTTTTATGGTGGTCAACAGACCAGGGCCCTACTCCTGGGTAATCCCTCAGGCACTATGCCAATGCAAATACATTTACCATTCTCCTGCTCCAGGTGGTGGTTGCATAGATGCCAAGGGCTACTCCAGATACATGGATATGGCAGATCAGGGCCTGAAGCTTAGGAACTTACGCGACAAACACACAAACAGACACACTGCTCTGTGGACGGCCTGGACCATCTGAGCACAGCTTTCAATAAGCAAAGCAGCCCTAAGTTTCACGCTGAGGCTTACAGACTTCTCACTTTGAGCATGCCACAGGAAAAAAAAATTACATCATTTTATTTTGTGAAAGGCTTGGGAGCTTTGTGGTTACGTTCAGTACAGTTTGCTAGGACAGCAGCCTTGGGCTTACCTTTTGCCTCTGTTTTGCCTTACTTGGAATAGCCCGCCTTTCCCTCTACTGTCTCCCTCCACATTTCCCCCCAAAATACAGGCACCACCGACAAAAGCTGTATTCCACAATGATTAAAGTTAAGAAACTGTGAGATGAAAACATGAACCATTACTGAACGGCGTGAGATCCTGGCTGCACTGACACAGCACTCAGGTAGCTACCTTTACTGGTCTGCAGTGAGATCAAACTTGTCAAAGGTTGTAAGGGATTGTAATGACATTTAATTAATTAATTTTAAATCTTTACTCAATGAAATAACATTTATTAGACCGACTAGCAGCAGGGAGACGTTTGTCAGCAGTGCTTAAGTTGGCAGACTCTCTGTTACTATACATAGCCAGAGAGGCAGAAAGTAAACATTTTATAGGATTAGCAGCTATGTTGATAGCTGAGATGAAATTTGGACATTTCATTAGTATAAGATTGATTCTGACATTTCCTAAAGCCAAAATGCAAACAAAAAGTGTGTCTGATATAAATACAGTATGCAGCACTCATTCAGATAAAGTTCAAGAAGCACAGCAGGTTTAGTGCCGTGACAAAGGAAACAGAGAAGGGTCATGTAAGGACCCAACTTCTGTAAGCACTAAGTTTATGCTTATCCTGTGGCCATCGCTGAGATCCTCTGAGCTTACTAAAGGCACACAATACTACTAATAATTAGACAACATGAAAAAAATCAATGGTAAGCCATTGCTAATGGTGGTAAGAATTAGATCCCCCCTCACCAAGGAAAACAGTATCACCATTAATTAAACTTTAAGAAAGTTTTCATTTTTTGTGCCATCCTCCTAGTTTAAGATATTCACAGCCTGACTGGTGGGACTGTAGAGACACGGGACATGTTATAATAGGAAATCGTTCATTACCTTAGCTAGACACAACCTAGTGTTGTCTTTGTTCACACACACGAACCCCAGTGCAACAGGTTGAAAGAAATATATGTCCCTCCTCTATTCTCACATGACAGTTACTTTGCATTTTAATATTATTAAATACTGAAACTAAATACTGCACCCTTCAAGCCAGGCATGGCTTTTATACAGGAGCTAAGGGAATCTGTGTTTTCTAGGAATTGCTAGCAAAATTGAGGCATTTTGAAAACGTTACACAGCTTATTTTTCACTTACTATTGGCAAGAATACCCAGTAAACATGTGCAGAAAATCATTCCCTTCCTATAACCCAGCAAACACAATTTTTCTGCCAAAGTGAAAATTCATTAGGTGAAAGCTGTCACTAAAGACCTGCAGAGAGGACGACTGCACAGCCTTGCCAGCAACCTAGTGCCTTGCATAACCACTTGGGCTGCTAGAAAAGTGCTTCTCAAGGTCAGGCCTGAACTCTTCTGTGCTGAAGGCATGAGGTCTTGTTCACATCCTGCTCAAAGAGAATCCATTTTCTACTTCATTGCAGAGCATCTTCCTTTATATCTCCGTACATCCACATATTCAGAGATTAGCAGCATGCCTGTTCGACTCCTGTATCTCCACGCCTTCCTCTCCTAAACCAAGAAGAAGTTCCTTTGTTCTTTCCTCACAGCTGGCACTTTCCAGACCTGTGTTATTTGCATTTAGGTTCT